AACTCTAAAGAGATAGGATGATGACATTTAATGTAAAATCCTGGAGATTTTACAGAAAAAGTGAGTAAGTGGAAAACTCAAGCAATCAAAATAATTTGAGGTCTTGTTAATGACATTGTCCTGCTGACTTCCTGAATATATATAATTATCCCATCATATGACTGTTCCTGAGAGTGGATTTTAAGATTCTTACCACCAAAGAGTTAGTACTGTGGTAATATATATGCTAATTACACTCTGTAAGGGTCCGGCGAAGCGTCAGAGAAAGAGACCACCAAGAGACCACTCATGCAATTGGCAGAAGGGGATTTATTGATCCAGCATGCTGGGGCTCCATGCCCACTCGAGAAGGGAAAGCAGCCCAGAGCCCAGAGCCGGGGTTGAACAATGCTTAAGTACACTTTTTTGGGGAGGGCGGGGACTTTACATACATCACAGTCTCCTTTAACAAATCACCATACACCGTGGGAAAGTCAAACAACAATTCTTAGACTTGATTAGTACATACATTGGCAGGAACAGGGCTGGCTGGAGTGATAGGTCATTCTTAAGGAGGGGGTTACATTTAAACTGATTGGTTTAGGCCCTGAGGTGTGTATGTGCTGGACTGCACAGGATCTTAGGCTATAAATCAACTAAATGGCCAGTAGGGCATTGTCTTAACTGCCTCAGGAATTTAACCCATGCTTTGCAGTTTAGAAGCAGGTTTACAATGCCTGGTCCTTTACATTTTAACTCAGGCTTTGCAGCTTAGAAACTTTACCCTTTCAACTCCACCATATATGAATATGTCAAAATGTGTGGTATACCATAAATACATGCAATTTTTGTTTGTCAGTTAAAATTAATAATATTGTCCCAATGTTAGTATCTTAGATTTGATCAAAGTGTCCTGGGGAAGGAAGTTAAAAAGGACATGGAAATTGCCTATACAATCTTTGTAATTCTTCTGTAAATCTGAAATTCCTTCAAAATAAAAATACAGAAAATGCACTATAGAGCAGTCACAATTACAGCTGATTTGAGATTCAGGATCAAAGAAAAAGACATTGTGCTTAGGAAAATTTTGACTATTTGAACAAAGATTTAGTGATGCTAATGAGGAAATCTTAGAGGGAATCAGGGACTAATGATCTGCAGGCTTTATATTTTGCTGGAGGATCAGCAGCACACTTGTGTAGCATGGAGCACGGAGGATATAGCCAGAGGCAGGGGTCTGTGTGTCCCCTTTGGCACCTCCTGCAGTCCTGCAGGTGCCAGATCATCCTAACCATGTCTACTTACAAACAGGGCATGGGCGTCAGTGCTATTGATTAATGAGCAGAAACAAGTGAACAACAAATGCAGTCTAAAACTGTCAGACATTATTATCAGAACCTCAAGTTTCAGGTATAAGAATAGTGGGGGAAGTTTAGGAAAAAAGCAACTTTTGTTATATTAGTAGTCATTAGTGTAAGGGTAAAAGAAATTGAAGTTAAAGTGTAAAAGACCGGGCATTGTATAAAGTTTCTAGGCTGCAAGGCCTGAGTTAAAATGTAAAGGATTAGGTATTGTTAACCTGAAATTCCTGTAGTTGTTAAGACAATGCTTGGAACCGCCCAGTAAATATTCCCCCCTGACTGTCTGCTTGGTTGTTTAATAATTCAGGGCTCTGTGTGATCTTGCACGTAGGCATTGCAGGGCCTGGACCAATCAGTTTGAATGTGTACCCCGTTTAGAACTGACCTATCACCCCCGCCCGACCTGTTCCCGCCAATGAATGAACTAATCATGTTTAGGAATTGTTGTTTGATTTTCCCGTGGTGTATGATGATTTGTTAAAGGAGACTGTGATGTATGTAAAATCCCCGCCCTCCCCAAAAAAAGTGTACTTAAGCAGTGCTCAGCCCCTGCTCGGGGCTCTGGGCTGCTTTCCCTTCCTGGGTGAGCCTGGAGCCTCAGCGCGCTGAATCGGATCCCAATAAATCCCCTTCTGCCAATTGCATGAGTGGTCACTTGGTGGTCTCTTTCTCCGACGCTTCGCCGGACCCTTACAATTAGCAAGCCATTTCTGTTTTCTAGACATTGTTAGAGAAATATTGCAATGATTTTCAAATATTTCCAAATTTTATGATTACATTTTAAAGTCAGAAAATCCAATACGAAAAATATAAATCTACATACAGTTAGTTCTCCATATTCACTTGTTCCTCAGCCATAGATTCAACCTATGATCAGAAAAAGTGGTCTGTGCTGAACACACACACAGACATTTTTCTTGTCATTATTCCATCAACAATACCATATAATAGCTGTGTACATATCATTGCATTGTTTGGGTATTGCAAATGATCTAGAGACGATTTAAAGGATATAGAGGGTAGTTTATATGCAAATACTACATCATTTCATATAATGGATGGACCTGAGCATCCTAGGAATTTGATATCTAAGGGGGTCCTCAACCAATTTCCTGTGCATACCTATGGGTGGCTGTGCACAACTCATATTTCCATTAAAATGGGAGAATAAAATATGTCATCAGTGTATCCTCAGACACCCTGAATACTTCTGTTTCAGCAGGCATTGGACACAACAGAGCACAGTCATTTCTGTTCTGCTCTATTGTCTTGAATGCCTGGGGAACTCCTTGTCTTTCCAAACAGTGAAGGCACCACTTTCCAGGTGAGGGTCTCTCGAACCCTCCCAACTTGCCCTCATAACTCTGCCTCTTCTGCACAGAAATCTCCATTCCAACACCCTCCACCCTCCACTGCACTTTATTTCAAATAGTTTTGAGATGTCTGTCAGTCCTATGAGTCTGCAAGCACCTGAGTGCTTCACGCCATAACCATCTTACTACTCCAGGGTTGGCACTGTGCCTAACACTGGGGATCCACAATTTAGGTTTTCTAGCTGTGCTATGATGTTGAGGGCCACAGCTGAGTATGGATGACGCATGGCATTTTGCCATAAGGGAGTGGTTGAGAGGTGAGGCCAGCAAGCCACTGAGATGATGATGGTTATGTTAAGCTGTGTATTCAATTGTATATAGACCTTTACTGTCTGGCAATAGGGTGGCTCTTGCTGCCTCGGGTGCCCGCTACTTTAGAGTTCTCGTGGGTCCGGGAGAGTAGGCGCGGAGCCCAGTGGAGAGGTGGGAGAGTTCCCGGGGAGTGTGCGTGGAGTGCTGGTGGAGTTCAGGCAATAAAGTTTCCTGTTTGAATATACAAATGCTTTGTGGCGGCTCGGTGATTTGTGCCCAGCCAGACTGTGGCACTATGAGCCGGATATTTTTCTTCATGTCCAATAAGGGGCAAATCATGCATTAAGGCCACTAAAGAGTTCCAAACTGATGTGCTGTCCAAACCTGTGTTGAATTGACTCTTTGCACTTCTATCCAGATTAGCATTGAGCTAGCGGACACTGGAAAGCCAGGGTTTAAGAGCTACAGATCAGAACAATTAATACAGCCTTCATCCATGTACCCTTAATGTGTTCTTTATTGTGTATGTGTGCAATTATGATATAGTGTATATTCTATAATTTGAAACTATGATATTTATGTTTCATTGATGTTCACATTCTTAAGAGGCTTTTTGAAGCTTTTAGATTTTTTATTTGCTGTATAAAAAGCTAGTATATATTCTTTCACTGGGTGGATGTCCAGGGATAATCCATTCAAGGAAGATCAGTTAGTCCAACTTAATGAAGCCTATATATTTTTTGGGTACTGATGGAAACAGTGGTGCCACACTTGAAGCCATTATTTCCAGATAGATCACTATGAGAGTAAGAACAGTGGTTGAATTTTCCCAGTGCCTCTAGTAGAACTGCTAGGGAGCCATCTTGCTTTCAGGGGTGCAATAGGGCAAAACAGCTGATTTAAAATATTCCATTTTTTTTGTTTGTTTCCATTTCCAGGAACAGGAGCTGGTGGCTGGACTCCACTGTATCAAACAAATACCAGTGGCTGCAGATTGAACTTGGAGAGAGAGTGAAGGTCACAGCTGTGGCCACCCAGGGAGGATATGGGAGCTCTCACTGGGTGACCAGCTACTTCCTGATGTTCAGTGACAGCAGGAGGACCTGGAAACAGCTTTGATGAGAAGAAAGCTTCTGGGTATGTTCCTCTGTTGGGACACACAGCCAATTCCTAGGGTTGCTGCAATCTTCACACCAACTACAGAAACAGAGCCTCCAAAAGCACTTGAACAAGCTTTCAAGCACATGAAAGACACAAGTAGCTTTAAAAACACATTGCCCATGTTTAATTAATGAAATAAATAAAAGTAGAACGGTTTTGTCATGCAGTGAAATACTGAGAATGTCCTCTCATTATTCCTTTAAATTGTGTGAAGTCTAGGGATCAAGAAATCACATATAATCCATTTTATTTTTGTTCAATTACTCAGTAGTTTGCATTGCCTTGACATTGTTTAATCCAATAAATTCATTCTTCTGTGACGACTGATCAAGTGAGATTTCCAAGAGACACTGAACACTTAAAAAATATATGCAGTGGAGAATCTACCTATGGAGGATGTGTTCAGGGACCTAGGTGGCTTTTGCCATTCATGGCCTGTTGATTCTTGGGAATAAATTATTATTGATTATTATAATAATAATTGATTATTAATAATTGATTTAATGATCAATTATTGATAAAACTATTATTAATTATTTTAAGTAAGATTGAACCCAGGGCCTTGTGCTGGTGAGACAAGCACTCTACCAACTGAGCTATACCCCTAGCCCCTATTTTAAGTAATATAATATAATATAATATAATATAAGACATATTTTCTACTTCTTAGTACATATCAGTGCTTCTTTTAGAAGATTTAAATTTTGTTTGCTTAACTTTTTTGAATAGTCAAATATCTGTAATTTTTAAAACATAGTCCTTGAGCTCTGAAATCAGGCCCTAAAGGGAGAGTGTTGGCACCCTCTGCACAGTACTTGTACCAGGCTGGTGGAGCACCCAGTCAGGGTGTGGACTGAGGAAGGATTATCAGATGGGAGAAGAAATTGATTTTTTATTGAAAATATAGTGTAGATGGTTGCCAGGGGGTGGGTGAGGGGAGAAGGGGCAGCTAGTGTTCAGTGGATACTCCTCTGAATTAACAGAGGAGTTTAGGAAGATGAAACAGTTCTCCTCTGGGTGGAGGAGACAGCTGCACAGCAGGGTGGATGGACTCAGTGCAGCAGAACTGGAGACTTAAAATCAAAATCAGCTAAAGTGGGAAAAGTTTGTGCTAATGTATATTTTACCACAATAACAAGGTGCACAGTTTAGCTTCATTTAATTCAGGCTAAGGATATTGGATACCTTTTTCTTTTTCCTCAATTTCCATGGTAAGAGGAAGGGTGTTAGCTTAAAAGCCACTTCTTCTTAACATATTGCTTACCAATAAGGCTTGAGGCCACAGAATGATCATTATCAGGAGTAATAAATTGTCCTCAGTAGAATTTTGTTAGAACTCTGTTACTTATTATAAACAAACAGACTGAGGTCTATTTTTTTTTCTAAATCTCTGAAGCTCTTATTAGTTCATCAATAAATGTTGGTGTTAATTGTATCAAGAACTCATTCTCTAACAATAACCAAAATAGCAAAACAGAATGGAATTTGTAAGAATTTTTAGGTCTGGCCTCAAAGAAGCAGGTGCCAGATATAAGATCAGAAGTAGATATTAATGTTGAGCTAGTTCAAAGAAAACCAAGTCCTTGCCAGGGTTGAGATAAATGTTGATTAAGAATGAATAACATTCCAGGTGCGGTGGTGCACGCATGAAATCCCAGCAGCTTGGGAGGCTGAGGCAGGAGGATTTTGAATGTAAAGCCAGCCTCTGCAAAAGTGAGGTGCTAAGCAACTCAGTGAGACCCCATCTCTAAATAAAATACAAAAAAAAAAAAAAAAAGAGCTGGGGATGTGGCTCAGTGGTCGAGGGCCCCTGAGTTCAATCCCCCGTTCTGAAAAAGAAAAAAAAAAATAACCACACACAATGAATAAAATGGTGGGGACAGAGTTTAGCCCTGGTGCATTTGCTTCACATGTTTGAGGTTCTGGGTTCAGTTGCCAGCACTGCAAAAAAAAGGGGGTAGGGGCAATGAATAAGAGTTAAAATTTAATAAGACACACTGGATATAGAGAGAACTTTTGTTCAAAAATAAATAATTCAGATTTCTAAAATAGGTGACAGCTACTATATGTTTATTCTTAGTTACATTAAATAAGTATTATGTTTTTAATCCCCCCCCCCCATTAAATGACTGAGCATTGGTGAAAATTCTCATTTTTCACTTAAGCTGGAAGGAAGCCACATCTAAGTGTCACCATCTGCCATTTTGTTTGCAGGGCAAGAGCCCTGGTAGAAATAGCATCAAGAATAGTGGTATACATGGTAGTTGCTCTGCAGATGCTTCTTGGATTAATGAATTAACTTTATCATCATTTGGTAATTAGACTGGCGGTGGAGAATTACATTTCAAAATGCACGGAAAACTGGGATCTTGAAAATTTATTTTTTAAAAAATATTGAAATGTAACTGCCATATATAATGAAAAAAATAGATCTGAAAATATAAATGAGGTAGGTGGCAATATATTGATCAGACAATATATTGATCATTTTTATTAATGGTGTCTGCATTTGTTTTTCTTTTGAAGTATATTCTCAAAATCATCCAAAGTTGATATTGTGGTAGCAAGCACATGGCATTTTAATTTTCAAAGGTTTCCTACTAAATGATTTTTTAAAATTAAAAAGGAGGGCATTATTAGCCCTAGACCATGTGTGTGAGGATGGTGCTGCCCACCTCTGTCCTTGGCAGCACTGTGTGTTTAGGCTACGCTGTAGAGTCAGGAGCTGGCTGCTCTGGTTCCCAGGGAGCTCACCCAGAGACCCTGACTGTGCTCCCTGCATCCCAGCACTGCATGGTGGGTGCTTGGGAATGAAATGGTTGCTGAATTAACAGAGGAGTGTAATCTATCATTCCTGGTCCCCAAACCCAATTAAACTCCTCTGATTCGGCCTTCCTCTAGCCCTTTGCCGGTGTAGAGTTGTTCTCCTTGCCTGTACTTTGAGCTCCTTTAAGAACGATGCTGTGGTCTAATGGCCTGCCCCCACCCCTGTATTTGAACATAAGAGGCAAAGTGATGGTGTGACCAAAGATAGTGGGTTCACTCCTTGTCGAGTGCCTAACAGTAAGCACACCAGGAGATAGAAGAATGAAGGAAGGTTAGAATAAGGTGTACTGCATCTTTGTATAAATATCTAAATAGACTCTATTCTCATGTATAACAAAAAAGAACAAATAAAATATTCAATCTCAAAAAAAATGTCAAGAAGACACTCAGGATAGCTCCCACATCAGTGTCCCCCCAGAGGAGGCCAGGGGCTTTTACTGAGGAAACTTATATGTATTCATAAAGCAGAGAGCTTCATCACATGCAGAGGTGGGCTATTCCTGAGCATTCTCGTTTGGAGATTATCCTTTGTCATATATTTCATTCTTACTAATAGTGTCTGGAAACACCTCCTGGACAAAGGATTTAGCATTATAATGAGCCAAGTTAACTCTAGGTCACTTGTAAGAGAGAGAGTTAGTCTGTGATTTTGGCTGGTTCCTGATGGGTGTCTCTGGAGAGCCTTATCTGGAACAAAACAACTCTGAAGGGACCTTAACAGTTATATAAATAGGCAGCATCTCCCCCCTCCCTACCCCACCAAGCATAGGTTATTGTTTATAAAAGTGCCTGCCTGGAAGCTACCAACAGTGTCATGAGGTGAGGGAAGCTTATGAGCATTTTGGGGGGGACGAGACATATTGGCAATTTCTACCTCGCACTTACCAAAAATGGAGTTCCAGAAGGAAAGCAGGTGTTGAGTGTCAACCCCTCTGTTTGTACAAACTGTTCAGGACCAGCCAGCCACCCTCATCCTCAGGGTGTGGGAGTGGATTCAAATGCCAGCAGGTGACCTGCTCTCCTGCTCTGCCGTCCCTAGCATGCTCACGTGGGTGACTGGATATTGGTCGATCCTTGCTGTTGTAGGTCTGATGGCTGTCAGGGGCTTGGCAGGTCTCTCAGCTGCTAGATGTTTCCCCTTATTCCTTCTCTTTTCCTAGAGGCCCCTCCGCAAGTGATGGGTGGAGACTCTTGAATGGTACGGATCTTGGGTCCTCCTGCTGTATCTCCTTGTCTTCTTCTGCTAAGAGGTAGAGAAAGTTTTCTGCTTTGAAGGGCTCACATGCTTAGGCTAGATCAACATGGTCATCCAGGGTCACCTTCCTAACCTCACTCAAGTGTAAAAAGTCCCTTTTTCTGTGGTTGTCACCTATTCACAGGTGCCACACATTAGGGATGGACATCTGTGGGGCCACTCTGCATGCCATTCCATATTTACACATCCTGATTGTCATTTTGTTCCTGCATCTCATTTACATCCTACCAAACATTTTCTGCAGACCTTAAGATACTATCTGAGCACCTGCTCAGGGTTGTCGGGGTGGGGTCAACCCCACTGATTGGCTGCTGGTCCCTGGCTCAAAGCCTTGTTGCCCTAACCTGTATCCCAAGAGGGAGACTTCCTCTCTAGGATATGAACTTTTACATATTTTAAAATAAGGTCAAATTAAATATCCATTATCCAGCCTCAAAGTATCTTGGATACGTTCCCTGTCCTAATTTTTTCCTCTGGTCCTAACTGTACTCTATGCTAACTTCATCTACTACCAAATGCCAAAAATCTCTCCTCTACAATTCCAAAATCTATGAGAAAAAGATGGATCATAACTCCTTATCAAAAAGGGGCATGAGGCTATGAATGGCCTTTATTCCTGTCACTTGGGTAAGTATTCCTATGCTTTGCTATGTGCTTGCCTTTGAGATATTAATTAGTACATGAAATACATTTCTAAATGCTCAGAAATTCCAAAACTGACACCTGCCTGATCACACTCTTCAGCAAAGGGGTTTGGGTCTGCAGGACCCATCGCTAAAAGTTTATTTGTTCAGATACTTTTTTTCTAAATTATGTTTTTTAATTGGTATTCTGTTTCACATTGATATTTTTTCCTTGAGGAGTGACTTCATCCACAGCTGAACTGCATTTTACATCTGAAAACAACCAAACAAATTGAATACATATTCAAAATTATGGACTCTATTCCAAAAGGAAGAGGCTTCTTAGGTGAGTGAAATTTAGGAATACACCTTAAGTTATGGGAAAGCCTTCAACTCCTCATACCAAAGAACACAGTATCTTAGGACATCCAAGCTCATTTATTGTGCAAAGTAAATGTCCTCATTTGAAATGTTGTTGAAGAAAAGTCAACTGATTAACAGATGAACAATTATGGCAGAGAAGGCACATGTCCTAGAAGATCTGACCAATTGTGCCTTTTTTTTTAATCAGCCACTTATGAACTTAGGAAGCCCCTTGGTTTATTAAGGCTCCATGCTGAACATACACATGGAGTTAACTGGGGCTGAGTTGGGGCATTCAGGCCGACCAAATCAGAAAATGGCCCGGAGTCCTGAGGACAATGAAAGCATGCCTTGCTTCACTGTACTTTGCTTTAATACACTTTGAAAAAAGACATTTATTTTTATACAAATTGAAGGTTTGTAGCAACCCCTTGCTGAAAATTCTGTAGGCACGTTATTCCAGCAGCGAGTGTTTCCTTCCTGGGTCTCTCTGTTACATTTTGGCAATTCTTGCAATATTTCAAGCTTTCTCATTATGATCCCATATATTATGATGATCTGTGATCTTTGATGTGACTTTTGTAGTTGTTTGGGGCATAACAAGCTGCACTCATGAGATGGTGAACTTAGTAAGCGCCATCTGTGTTCTGAGTCCCCACGGACTGGTGTTCTTCACCTTTCCCTGTCCTTAGGCCTCTTTATCCTCTGAGGTAGAAACCTGTTAGCATGAAGGCGCTGATAATTCTGGCCATAATCTTAGCAATACATTCTATTTATTAGGAACCTGCCATATTCCAGATATGTGCCAATTGCTTTACAAATATTATTCTCATTTTACAAATAAAATATGGTATCATTTGCTTAAAAAATTAGGGCAATTAGAATCTATACAATTACCTCACAGTGTTTAAGTAAAAGGAAGAGTTCCTAGTCTCTCATTTTTAAATCAAAAGCTACACATGGTCAAGCTCAACGCAGAAGGCATGTGGAAAGTCAAGACAGGCCAAAAGCCATGCCAAGCAGCCAAGCTGGAAATGCAGAGGACAGCTTCCTATAGGAAATGAAAAGTGCTACTCCAGTGAAATTGCTCCTGGGTACTGAGAATGTTACCCAGGCCAGAGGCCGCCAGGGTCCAGGTGAGCTGGATTCAGTTGCTCACCCACATCATAGTTAGGAGGAAATTACATAAAAAGGTACAACTGCCAGGTTTCTGTTTGCGACTAAAAAGCTCAGGAGTCACTCCAGGTAAACTGGGCTGACTGGTCTGCGCAAAATAACACACAAGAGACACAGATTCCTTTTTCTTTGGGGTTGCTGTGACGGCTCCTCTGACCTCAAAGGTCCATAGGGAGGGAGAGAGAGAGAGAGAGAGAGAGAGAGAGAGAGAGAGAGAGAGAGAATGTGCTTACACCTTTTATTGAGGAGAAGCTATTCAAATGAGGCAAGGGGTCAGGTTTCAGGGGGCTGAGTCTATCTTCATGATGTCCACTGTCAGCAGGTTGATTGACATCTGGGTAGGCCACACCTAAGGACACAGTAAGAGAAGGGGACAAACACAGGCACTTCCATGGAACATTCTATCCTAAACTGGGTAAGGGATTATATTACAAAGGAACAGGTGAGCATAGCTTCACCCTTGAAGCTGTAGGAAGACACAGTCACTTGAACCCTAGAAGAGTGGGGTAGTCTAGCAGCATGGGTGCCTGATGCCACATCGCCCAGCAGAGGAGTTAAGTCAGTCACGTCGAGGTTGGTCTCCCACAGAAAACGAATCACAGTTTGGCCAAATCCGGGAAAACAGCTAATCTGCCTTTGATGCTTTATAGAAATGTAACGATTTATAGGAAAAGAAAGAGCCAGGAAATATGCACATGTAGAGTCGGCCATGCTGGGCCAGGCCAGGGAAGTGTCATGATTTCATTTCTGCCTTTGTGGACACCACAACTTTGGAGGACAGCAATTTTAGCTTCCATTCTCTGCATGAGATGATGACTTCTAGGAATCTGGGACAGAGAAAATAGTTTTACCAGAAAATAAATAATATGAAGGAAAAATAGTACTTAAATGGTACTTGGGGCTTCTAATTTTAAATGGGTCCTATTACAATAGATATGTGTGAGTGTGTGTGTGTGTGTGTGTGTGTGTGTGTGTATGGGTTTAAACCCAGGGGTGCTGAACCACTGAGTCACAGCCAAAGTCTTTATCAGCCTTTTTCCTTTTTGAGACAGTGTTTCACTAAGTTGCTCAGACATTTGAGAAGTTGCTGAGGCTGGCTTTGAATTGTGATCCTCCTGACTCAGCCTCCCAAGCCACTGGGTCTTCTTCCCGATTTTAAGGAAAATTTTTCTAATATTTTCCCCACTGAGTAGTCATGTCCTCGTACCCATTTTCAGCAGCCAGCAAGAGCCAACCATTAACTTTTCATGAATAGTCATTATTTAACATTAAATTATATAAATGTCTAATGAAGCAAATTATGTTAAAAACAATAGTAATAAGGAATCAAAATGCACTATTTACTGTTTATTTTGTGATGTCTTGCTATTTCCCATGCACTTTTGAAGCCAGATTTAAAGTTAGGTAGTCAGTGTAGTTAGGTAAATCGGGTCTAATACCGAGTGAAATCTAAAATGGAGGCCATGCTGGCAATGATTCCGGGAAACGCAGGACAACTCAAGGAATGTTAATGAAGTCCTAAAAGGCCCTAGGCCAAAGTCCACCTCAAAGAAATGTTAATGAACAGCCCCCAGCAAAAAGGTGCCGACTCAGAAGTCCTTCCTGACCAGATTACTTCTTTGGCCCACCTGTGTCCCACCCCTCGGTCCTTCCCACCTACATTCCATTACTGAAAGAACTATAAAAAGGGGAGACAACATCCCTTCCATGGATTCCACCTCTTGGGTCCCCTTCTTCCTCCGGGAGAAGTCTTTTCTGCTGTCCTTTAATAAACTTCTGATTTCTACTCTGACCTTGCCTCGGCGTGCTTCTTTGGTGTTATTCTTCAACACTGGGGAAGCAAGGACTCGTCACCGGTCAACAGCGGTAACATATTGGAGGTCCCAGACCGAGATTCTACACCGAGGTAAGTGCACGCACCCCATGTCTGTTTGAGGTGCATCTTTCTCTATTTCTTTCTGGAGGGTAAGGTGGGCACCCGATGGCTACTTAAACGCAATTAGTGCAGCCGCCACTCTTCAAGACTCGGGTGAGAGGTTTCCCGGCCTAGGCAGCTCTCAATCACCTGTTCAATACAGAGCAGGCATGTTGGGTTCTGCCAAAGCCGCTTCCAACTTTTCTGTCTGGGCCTGGAGGGCAATTGGCGTGAGTACACAGTGTCCCGAATCCCGATCTGCCTTGGATGCGTGGAGGTGGAGGAAGGAGTTTGGAACAACTGCGGAATTCCGGTCTGGGCTACACTCAGACGTATTCTTAAGGTTCCTTTCTCTTGAGCCCCCTTCTGACAGCCCTCAGGGGTATCTAGGGTGATCGGTAGATGAATGGCACTGAGGGAAAGCCCCAATCACATTTGCCTCCGTGTGGGCCATGCAACACTCCCAACCTCGCATCCATTCCTCCTGGATGCTCCCCTTCCTTCGCAGGTCAGAAATGTTAGCAATTCAGGTTGTAGGACTGAGAGAAAGGCATGGGATAATTAGCAAAATCTACCCAGGTTCCCTAAGATGCATAGGTAAATTTCACTAGTCTGTTTTATCGCCCCAATGTTTAAAATGCGTTGTGTTCCTTAAACTGCTAGAGAGGCATTTTTAGAATCAACTCCTCTGGTAATCTGCTACCTTACAACCAGTAGATATCCCTTAACACTTAGGAGGCTCCTTTAGTCTACAGAGCAAAGGCAATGAAAGAGCACACGATTCTCTTTTGCAATGGGTTTTTAGTGGCCGGGAGGATAAGCAGTAATGCCCTTAAGTCTGAATCCTCCCAGGGTCTCTGGCACAGGGCAAACTGAGACCCTAGCACTTTGCTAAAGGGGACCAGAAACCCCTTGGCAAAGCAAGGTGAGAGACGGGTTTTCTGGACCGTTTAGAAAGCTCAAACTTAGGGAGACGTCCCTAATGAGAAGTTTTCTCTGGCGCGCGTGGGCGCCTGAGTCCTGTTTTCTTCTCACTCAGGAGCTTCTCTCTCTCCAATACGCCAGGTGCACCACTAGCCTGCGTATTGAAAAATTGGGATAAATTTGAACCTCAGACGCTCAAGAAAAAGTGCCTCATTTTCTTGGCCTGGCCTCAATACAAACTCTGAAGAAACCTGGCCACCAGAGGGAAATATCAATTTTAATACAATTTAACAGTTTGATAAAATTTACAAAAAAGGAAATGGTGTGAGGTGCTGTATGTTCAGATTTTCTTTGCTCTAAGGGAAAATCCTAAATTATGCCAACAGTGTAAAGTAGACTTAGCTATGATATCTGCCATGAAGAGAAAAAATCTTGGACTCACTGAGGAAAAAGAATCAAGAGAAAAATTTGGGCCGATCAAAGTACATACCCCCTTCCCCCTTCAAGACCTAAGGCAGATAAAAACTGACTCTAGTGGAAAGTTAAGAGATATGTCAGATTGCCTGGGATTGGATCTATCCAAAGGAGCTAATCCTGTAAGTAAAAGGGAAACTGAGGTACTCCCAGCAGCTGCCAGAGCCATTTTCGCTTTGGGGAATTTCCTCATTCTTCCCTGCACTGTAAGGATTGCTCCATCTCTGTCCACTTAAAAAGAAGGGACACTGAATGCAGTAAAGTCAGTCACACTGAGACCCTTGATTTTACACCTATAGTTGACCCTCTGTGAAAACATCTGGTCCACTCATGGGAAATCTAAGGTGCCACTGATAGGAGTCATAATTAAATGGAAGTTCAAAACCTGGAGAGATTTTTTTCTTATCTGGTCTGTTTTAAAGGTTATTATAGGTTGTTTCTTGGGGATGATCTTGGCTAAATGTGTGTCTAAAAGATGATTTTTTTATTGTAACATCTGGTATCTAAATGAGTTTGAAGCATTGCATAATCTTGCAGTTAAAAGTTGGGGTTAGGTAATTGTTTAGTTTGATTTCAGATAATTCATGCCAGAGAACTTAAATACTTAGGATAGAAAATTAAAAGAATTCTACTTCCAAGTTGGCAAGTAACTCCCAATCATTTAGTTTTATTTTGAACTGGGTAGCCTGAGAAGATTTCACTAGGTGTACCAGTGCATTAACTTGGGCAAGGATAGTAAATTATGATATGTTATCTGTTCCCCTCAGTGTGTAAGATTTAGGAAAAATGTTGAATTGGAACGTTGGTCTGGCTTATTGAAATAACATTGAATAGCAACAGTCTTAAATTTTTAAAGCTTAATTTTGGATATACATGGTAGTGTGGTTCTCTTTTAAGATTTTTTTTTCAGGTGATTTAATGTAACTTAATACTACTTTAGGAACTTCAGAACAAAGGAAGTAGCTTAATGATCCTGAAGGAATTTCTTCTGATGGTGGCTTTTATTATCAAGAAAGATCGTATTTTCAGTTTTGTGTGAGCAAGTTTTTCTAGTGTAGGAAAATGTAAAGGTATAAAATTTTGTAAATTGTATCTTAAACTTGTATCATAATTTTCAACATCCAAACCTGAAAAGTGTGACTTATGGTTAAAATGCCTTAGGCATGAGGTTTCTGCTCAGAATTCCAGTTTTCCCAGTTCCTTCCAGACCTCAGCCAGGACTTAAGTTGATATGCAAATAGAAGAAGCCTAGAGCACTCAGTATGAGACAGATCTGAGGCCCAAGAAAAAAAAAAGAGTAAAGTGTCTTTTTATGGGAACTCAAACTAGATTAAACCAAAGAGTAAATTGTATGGCATTTACTAATTACTGGCCGGTCAATTTTTTCTAGGACTTTTGCTTTTTTCTTAGATTCTGTATTTTTTTTTTTGAGCTCGTGATTTTGATCCTACAGAGAAGTTAATGTTTTTCTGATAAGTTCTATTTTTGATCAACTGGAGTTTTTTTTTTAAACATTGCAATGAGATTTCACCTGAGAAAGCTACAAGGCCTTTACTATTGTGTTGTGTTACACTTGTGTTATGTGTTGTATGTCGGTATGTCTGTGTGTATGTCCATATATCGTGCAGTGATATGACAATTGACAGATGAGGAGCGCTCATGAAAAATTAAAAAAAATGGATCCAAATATCTTTGATTCACGTGATTCAAATGGTTCAATTTAAATTGGGTAAACAGATGAAAGTAAAGATGTCTTTAAAATTAAGCTTATAAGTTTTTCTAGATGTTCAAAAAGGCCCTAATAAAATGTTAAATCTGCTTAAATTCAAAAAATTTACAAGTATTGTTTCAATGTGAACAGGAGGAGGTTAACAGATGAAAAAGAAAAATTAGAAGGTTCTAGGTATGGATTTAATAGAGGGAAAATGTGTTTCTGGATAAGAGTCTATGATTAAGTAATTAAGAGGGTTTAAGTAAATGATATAAAAAAGGTCTGTGTAAGTTGCTTATAAGTGTAAGTTTTTGAGCAAGTAATCTTAAAGAAATTAAACAGCTGGTCAAACAAGTGCTGTTGTTTTAGAGAATTGTGCTATGTTATTTCTTTAAAAAGCTAAACTTGATTAATATAAAAACATCAATGTAATTGTGGTGTTAATGTGTCCATATCTTCCAGGTATACAAGTCTGTAAGGTAGAAGTTTTAAAAGAGCATTATATCAAGCTGGTGGTTCTAAAGTTGTATGGTAATTTTAGGCTTAAAAAGAAAAACATGTTGGAGATTTATTTATATCATTTGTGTTCTATAACTGGACTTGTTATCCATAAGATATGTAAAGTTCTATGTTACTTTTTACACTGAGATACAATTTAAATGTATTTTTAAGTTAATGAGAGCCTAATCTGTGTGAAGGTTTTATTGCAAAACACAAAAAGTACATTACTACTTTTCTACAAAAGGTTAAAAGCTTTCAGCCTTTCTTTAATTCATGTTTTAGATGTGATATTATGTTGTGTTTGCTCAAGTTCACAACAATTTATGTAGGCTTTGTAAAATGATGTTTAAAAAGCAAAGATCAGTTTCAGAACTACAGTACTTAAGATTTATGAAAAGCCCTGCCTTACTTGAGATAAGGCTCTGTCCCATCTCACTACATGTGAAAGTGACTGTGAAAGAAGTAGGCCAGATTTCAGTACAGTTAAAGTTGTGTCCAAAAGTAGTTTTTTGCCAAGATTACTAGGATCTCAAACAGGGAATTATGATGTATAACCCTGCCAGAATTCAAGGTAGCTATTATATTAGCTAAATATGTTTTTACCCTAGTTAGTTTTGTTTTGTAGTTTGCTTATAGATGGTTTAAGGATTGCCTGTTAATGTTTTAAGGAGGTACTGCTTTAAGAACACACAACCTGAGTCAACATAAGATAAGGAGTTATCACCTACAGGATAGAGAGATAGACATTAAAGCCCAGTGCTCTTAATATAAGGCTGTTAACTTATTTGCTGGATGTTTAAGATTAAGTTTTAAAATTAAAATTTGGCTCTTGCCCTCTGAGTCAGTCTGAATCAGGGAATAGGGGACTTCTCCAAAGGGCTCTGCAAATCTAGGCCACATAACCTCCTGAGCAGGGAGATTAATGAGACCAGTGGAGGACAGAAAGCCAATCAGTGCATTTGCTGTGAAGAGGAGGGTCATCAGAAAAGGGAGACATCCCTGATGCTTCCAATGGAAGCCACATGGTCAAGCAAGGCCTGGACCCATCCTAGCGCAATGGCACTAGCAGAACTGAGAAGCTGCTGTGAAGTTCCCCGAGGACTCCCAGGGAAGCTCAGCTGACTGTTAACAATAGATAAAAACAAAAGTCAGTTTGACTTGCTTCATCTTAAACACTTAGCAAAAACAGTCAAAGCCAAAGCACAGCTGTTCCTGGACATTTTAAATAATAATAATAGTTAAATGTAACTTCCAAAAATAAGTAAACTGGAGGCTACAAAAGAGATTCTCAGGCAGGAATGCCTGATAACTATCAAAAGGAACTGCCAGAGTAGTTTTTAGTTTAAGGCCTTTATTTCTAACTTACACAGGTAGGCTTAGTGTTTGCAAGTATGGTTATCCAGCCCTAAGTAACAGAATTAAAGATTTCTCTATTAGACACAGGTCATACTAGTAAAAGGATTTTGCAAGACCAGATGACATTAAATTATTAAACTATATCTTAAGGGAAAGAACGTCTGTAACCCTAAAAGTTAAATGTTGTGTTTACATCCCTGACATTTCTGGCAATGTGACAAATATCCTTAAAGATTTACATGCTCAGATAGAAGCCATGTCCTCAGCAACTTTGTCATGGAAACAATATCTTAGCTCCTAGTTCTTGGTACTTCCTGGTGGAAAACATTGTTAATCTTTGTCTTTGCCATCATACTCATTGGCATATTCCTGTGGTATGGCATTTATTGCTGCTGCATCGATATGGTTCCAGTACTAATGAATTCTTGTTTCTCTTATAGACCATCCATCACTCAAATGGCCCTCCAGCCTATTACTTCTCAATCAGACTTCTATCATGGACCACTCGATAGACCCGATTTTTAAAGGGGGACTCCAAACTGCTTGCCCCACACCGTCCCTTTTCAGCCTGAAGAAGCCAGAGATTCTCTTCGCCCCCCTTCCTTACAGCAGTAAGGAGTTCCCAACTTAGAGGGGGGAATGAAGCCAGATTTAAAGTTAGGTAGTCAGTGTAGTTAGGTAAATCGGGTCTAATACCGAGTGAAATCTAAAATGGAGGCCATGCTGGCAATGATTCCGGGAAACGCAGGACAACTCAAGGAATGTTAATGAAGTCCTAAAAGGCCCTAGGCCAAAGTCCACCTCAAAGAAATGTTAATGAACAGCCCCCAGCAAAAAGGTGCCGACTCAGAAGTCCTTCCTGACCAGATTACTTCTTTGGCCCACCTGTGTCCCACCCCTCGGTCCTTCCCACCTACATTCCATTACTGAAAGAACTATAAAAAGGGGAGACAACATCCCTTCCATGGATTCCACCTCTTGGGTCCCCTTCTTCCTCCGGGAGAAGTCTTTTCTGCTGTCCTTTAATAAACTTCTGATTTCTACTCTGACCTTGCCTCGGCGTGCTTCTTTGGTGTTATTCTTCAACACTGGGGAAGCAAGGACTGTCACCGGTCAACAGCGGTAACACTTTAGTCTATTTACATATCTTCTGAGTAACCAGTGGAAATACTGGATAGTGGTTGACTCTGCATCTTTTCCATTCCAATGCTAGTTAAAGGTATCTTACTGTTCTGGCTTTCAACCTATCCTGGGGCCACCAGGGCTCTGGAAGCAGTTTCTTTACTTCTGTTCTCACATGAGGAAGCTGGGAGGGAGAAAAGGAAATGGGGAAGGAAAAAAACTATTGGCTTTTCCCTTCAAAGGGGCCCCTTACACCAGGACTTCATGTGTGAGAAGGCCAGGACAAATTTACTGGCGAAAATAAGGATCAGCATCTTTTATCATGTGAAGGAAGCTATGGCTGATTTTTTGGAGATATATTAATCCATTTATGCCACTTGGGTGTCACTGAATAAATTACTTTTCCTATTACACCAATATTAGTTCAATATTTAGTTAATATACTTACATTAGTTAAAACACTTTACATTCCAGTGTCAAACAACCACCCTCTAACTTCTCAAAGCCAAAATAATTTAAAATTTAATTTGCTTGATTGTTTTAAAGTACTTCCTTGGTTTAATACAGAGAACATATTTATTAATCAATTAAAACTCATTCCACATTTTTTAATATTACAATTCTTATTACACATATAGAGCACAATTTTTCATGTATTTGTATAAAGTATGTTCATGCCAATTCACATCTTTATACATGTACTTGTTTTTTTTTTTTTTGCATTACAACTCTTATTACACATATACCACAAATTTTTCATATCTCTGTTTGTATATAAAGTCGGTTGACCCCCAATTCGAGTCTTCATACATGTACTTTGGATAATGATGTCCATCACATTCCACCATCCTTGCTAACCCCCTGCGCCTTCCTTTTCCCTCCCACCCCTCTGCCCTATCTAGAATTCATCTATTCCTTCCATGCTTTCCCTCCCTACCCCACTATGAGTCAGCCTCCTTATATCAGAGAAAACATTCGGCATTTGATTTTTTGGGGATTGGCTAACTTCACTTAGCATTATCTTCTCTAACTCCATCCATTTCCCTGCAGATGCCATGATTTTATTGTCTTTTATTGCTGCGTAAAATTCCATTGTGAATATATGCCACATTTTTTTAATCCATTCATCCAACTGAAGGGCATCTAGGTTGGCTCCACAGTTTAGCTATTGTGAATTGTGCTGCTATAAACATTGATGTGGCTGTGTCCCTGTAGTATGCTGTTTTTAAGTCCTTTGGGTACAGTCCGTGGAGAGGGATAGCTGAATCAAATGATGGTTCCATTCCAAGATTTCCAAGGAATATCCATACCTCTTTCCATATTGGCTGCACCGATTTGCAGTCCCACCAACAATGTATGAGTGTACCTTTCCCCCCACATCTTCGCCAACACTTTTTGTTGTTTGTCTTCATAATAGCTGCCATTCTGACTGGAGTGAGATGATAACTTAGAGTAGTTTTGATTTGCATTTCTCTGATTGTTAGAGATGATGCCATTTTTTCATACATTTGCTAATTGATTATATATCTTTTTCTGAGAAGTGTCGGTTCCGGTCCTTAGCCCATTTGTTGATTGGGTTATTTGTTTTTTCGGTGCTTAGCTTTTTGAGTTCTTTATAGACTCTAGAGACTAGTGCTGTATCTGATGTGTGAGGGGTAAAGATTTGCTCTCAGGATGTAGGCTCTCTGTGCATTCCACATTTTATATTTTATATTTTAGTGTTTATTTTTTTTACTCATGCATTTCATTTACAGACATATGTATTTTATTTTCTACTGATTTATGAAAAGCAATAAAATATTTCTTAGGAAAACATTTATAAAAAATAAAAGGGTTCTTTGAATGGTACTGAGAGGGCTGAGTAGCGAATTCTGGGCAGGTTCCTATGTATCCAAGGATCAAAAGCAGCGAGGCAGAACCCAGGGAGCTGAGCACCATGGCCCGTGGTCTTGCCACTACATTTGTCAGTGGATTTACCAGCTCCCTGGTGGAAGAGCTGGTTATTGTGGAGATACTAATGGGTGAGTATTATCTTTCAACAAAGAACTGAACACTCCTAGAGTGATTTTTGAAATCTCTGCTCCTTCTTCTTCTAGAGCTCCCATTGTTAGGAGACAGCCAGATGCAAATAGTTGGGAACAGAAGGTTAAGGGAATGATTTTATAAAATGGGCCCATTGGGCTGACACCCACATGCTTTGTTTTCCAAGAAGCAATTTACCTGCAATCCTGTCTGGCCTAAGTACACAGGATATGTCTCATTCCTCAGCAAACTACCTGTTATCTGCAGAAGAAATGCAGGACTGAAAAAATGTCAATAAGAGGAGCCCACATTACCCTGAAGGGGAGATTTTTTATGACCCTCTTTATACACCAGATCTCAAAACTCAGGGAGATAAGGATAGTTCCTCCTAACCATAAAATCTGTAAAATATTATGATTAAGAATCAAATGAGAACCAGCATGGGCCAAGGTGACATAGAGTTGTCATGGCAATGCGGACTTGAAACTCTGATGTCATCCTGCTGTTAGTGAAAAGTCAAGAGGGGGGGTGGGGTGGTGGCTCAGCGGTAGAGCACTCACCTAGCACATGTGAGGCCCTGGGTTCAATCCTCAGCACCACATATAATTAAATAAAATAAAGGTATTGTGTCCAACTACAACTAAGAAGTAAATATTTTTTAAAAAATAAAGAGGTAGACCTGAGCAGGACTCTGGAAACTTCTCTAGGATCTCCAATAAAACTGGAATGCAGGAGAGGCACACTGTCCTTGTGTCCCTTGAGAGTGTCCCTTTTCCCCCCTCCCATCCCTTCTAATGAACTCATTCCTGTTACTCTGAGATGCTTTTCAAGAATCATGGTTTGAAGGGGGGAGGTCTTCATGCTGCCTCAGTTTCCTGGAAGGCCTCAGCTCTGTGACACCCTTTGAAGTCTGAGGTGGCTGAAGTGTGTTTCATATATAAATATAACAAAATGACCCTGATACGAGAATACACCTTAGCTTTTTTGTACAAAGAGTCACATTGCTGAAAAGTTTGCCTCTCAAGATACCTGAACTAAAATTTTTCAAAACTGATGGATTTTGAGAAGTGAAACCTATAACTGCTTGATAAAATTGATGCCATTAGATATAAATTTAAATATCTAGAAAATTGGATTTGACTGCTTAGTTTTTTCAACTGACATTTCCTAAAATTTAAATATTTAATAGTTACCATACAAAACTAGATTGCTGAAATCTGTGCATTCTAAATAAGAACATGCTATAATATTAATCTTCATTTTTTCTTCTCAAAAATCTCCTTAAGAAATTATGTGTTCTGTATTTATCCTGACAAAAGTCAAAAAAGCAAAAACAAACACCCAGAAAACTGTCTCCAAAAGTAGCCACGTGAGCCTTGCATTCCACATTTTGCTTGTGCAGGGAGTCCCTTGTTCTGCCATTCTTGCTGCTCTAGGGACCCTGATCAAGCTGGCTCAGAACATTCCGGAGGCTGCTGCCTTCCAGCCTCAGGGCCACTTCTCATGCTGTCAGTCATGGGGGCTGTAGGTGCAGCTTGGTGAAGAGAACCCTGGTCTTAGCAGAGGTGGTTGAAATTGACCAGAGGAATCATATTAAGGTTTTTTTTCTTTCTGCTCCCCACAAAAGCTTGCAATACATACTCGTTTCCAGACAGGGACTGCTCTCTTCATAACTCAGATGCTGAGATCCTGGGCTGTAAATCTTCAAGTGCCCACCTGCCTGTGAGACCCCATGGAGACAGTGGAAACTGTCAACTGCTTTGACTGCACACTATCAAAAGTGCATTCAGGATACAGATCACGTATTATACAGCATAAAGTCAATGCAGGCAAAAGGGACTGACTGGATTGTTCCTTTTTCTTGTGGTTGTCACCTTTCCCATGCTGAGCCATTGAGTCTGTTTCCTCAGAACATGGACTGCACTCATCTGTTGATGGAGCCAAGAAATTTTTTTTTTTTGCCTAATACTTCCAATACAATTCATGGATGAGCATTTTAGAAACTATTTTTTAGCATTAAGCTACTTATTTCTCAATTCCATAGAGTTACTAGTATAAAGTATTTTATATTCTTTAGAAAGATAAATAAATAAATATGAATATATTGGGGAAAATGTTTAGATTTGTCCTTAAGATACTAAATGGTTCCTTTCAACATGAGACTTTGTTTGAACTCTGCAATATGTAATACATAATACAAAATTCACTATTCTTAAAATCCAAATAGATATTTTGTAAAATCTTAAAATCATAATAAAATAGCTAAAAGTATGTCAACTCCTGGTGTAAATCACAACATTATATCAAAATGTTTGAGGAAAATCTTACAAAATTAGATTTTTCCTCATATTTTTTCATGAAACATATTTTTTTTTTATTCACAGAGAGGATATTGATGGAGTTACCTTATGTTTTAGATTAATTCAAATCACAATAAAAGGGCTTGTGAACCAGATTTTTATAAAGGTGCATGAAGTACAGGGATATTTTTATCTCTAAATGCAAAATCCACAATTCTACTTATTTGTTCTAGAAGCTTTTAGGCATATATGGGCAAAGAGATACCCTATTTTTAAGTTGCCATTTTTTTTCTTTTCTTTTTTTTTTTTTTTTTTTTTTTGACCAAGTGGCCCTGCAAATGCACTGTGGACGTTGAGGGCTGTGCATAGGCCAAAGCTAATAGCATCATATAAAATATGTGCATGTATTAGTGCCCAGACTGTCTTGGTAGCCATGCAACTTTAGTCAAAGCTTGTCTGGAATGCACAATGGAGCACATGGGTAGAGAAGCTCCAACATAACACAGCTTGGATAGAGGCTGCCCTGAAATTGCCACATGGAAGAGAGATGCTCTTTTGTTCTGATTGTTTCATGTTCCTTTTCTGACTTCAGAGTTTCTAAGTCCCTGTACACAGCTCAAGTTACCAAATGAGACATACAGAATAAATCAGCCCAGTTTTCACTATTGCTAGCAACCTTCAGAGAGTCAGAGTTAGGTGTGATTTTTGTCCACCATCTATGCCAGATTACAGAACTGCCCCCAGAATCAGATCTCTACTGGACCCAGTAGCCTCTTTCAGATGAGTGAGCTTCTTTCAGGAGGGCTCAGATTTCTTAGTGCTGTTCCTGCTTCTTTGCAGGATGATATTTGAATGGAATTGTGTGATGGGTGGAGACATTCTGGTATGTGTCAGCTCTTCATGTTGGTCCTTGACTTTCACTATGTGCTAAGGCAGTTTGATATTAACCCTGAAGATTGGTTGGCATCTGCTCCTGAGTCCTGTTGGACTTCTTCATTAGTGTCCTTTTGGTAAGGCCATGTTCCCAGGGAACTGGTTATTATCCCCTGCTAATGTGTGCTATGTCACTTCTTGCTGATGGTGTAGCTCTGAAGTCTGATTGTGAGTCTTATTTCTGGCCTAAGCAGTCAGACTGGCCTTGGTTCCAGGTTTCCTTGGTTCTTGGTTTCCAGGTTCCAGTCAAGTCAATCTTCAGTTTAGATTCAAGTCAACTCTGAGGTCACATCTTTGTCTCACTTTGATGACCTATTGGGAACTCTGGGTCACAATGCAGAAGAGAAAGAGTATTGGTTGGTTTTGTCTTGGCAATTCAGGCTCAGAAATGGCTTATCAATTCCACTTACAAATTATCTTCTAGAACTAATCATATAACCCTACAAACCAGAGGACATGGAAGTGTAATCCTGTATATGCCTGGGGGTGGGAAGCCGAGAACTAAAGTCTGCTTCTCTATGGTTCAGCTTTTCCTTCAGAATTTCTATTTCCCAGGGCCTAGGAGACTCCTCTCTCAGAGCACAAGGTATACCAGAAACCAGCCTCAAGATCTGGCCACTGGCATCATACTTCAACACTGTGCCCCTGACATATTCCTTCAGGACTGAGGTGCTCCTTCCTGGTCACAGATATCCTGGCTTTCCAGGACTCTCTGTTTTTCTCCCTAAGCATATCCAGTAGCAACTTGTCCATGGCCCAGGGGCCTGTAGGGTCTCAACCAGCAAAGAGAACAGCCAGAACCTGCAGAATCCACAAGCTCCTGGACCCAAGAAAGAGCAAGAAGAAAAAATTTAGTCCAACTGATAAGAGAGAGGGTTGTGTATGGCCCAGCTCGGGCATAAGGAAGGAAGTTTGAAGGAGGGAAGCCCTCCCATGCTGGGGGATGTGCCCCCTGCCCAGGTCAGGGAGGTAGGAGACACAGTGTGGGACAAGTGCTCCCAGGCTCCTTCCAGAGAAAGGATTGGCTCCTTCAGAGAGGCCCTTAGGAACAGAATAAGAAACTTTCTGCAATGCATTCTCCCCCATAAGGTCAGAGGGATGGTATATTTCTTGCAAAAAGTCAAGACCCCATTAGCCATTTTCCAAACTAGCCTCATTAACAAGCACAGAGCACCTGAAGAAAACACTGATAGTCCATGGCATGATGCAGCAACAGAGGTATGCCAAGTATCCCCACTGCATATTCCTGATCATAAGACGGAAGGTTCTGGGTGGCCATGCATTTGATACCTTGGAGCATTTTCCTCAAACTAATAATAACTATTATGTTGGCTTGTGCTCCTAAATTCTATAGTCCAAGTAGGCAAAGAAAAGGATGAAATTAGGGATTTGAATTGCTTAATGCTCACACAAATGTCCAGAAAGATTCTATTTCTGCTCTGGAAGAAACCCTCATCCCCTGTGACCACAGAGCTGAGATTGCTACAAACCAAACCCAGAATCAAATCCTGTGAATGGCTGAATTACAGTGCACATTGAATTCCCATCATTGCAGAGTGTTTGCTGTGAGGGCATCAAAAACAATACTGCATTCTTGGAGGGATTGGAAAAATTAGTGCCACCATTATGGACTTGAAGGACATAGGGGGTGATTTCTTTTGTATCCTCATTCAACATTCCTATTTGGCTTAATGAGAAAATAAACAAATCTTAGAGAATGACAGTGGATAACCATAAGCTTAAGAAGGTGGTGACTTGGGCTGGGGAGGTGGCTCAGGCGGTAGCGCGCTCGCCTGGCATGCGTGTGGCCCGGGTTCGATCCTCAGCACCACATACAAAGATGTTGTGTCCGCCAAAGGCTAAAAGATAAATATTTAAAAAAAAAAAAAAAAAGAAGGTGGTGACTTGAATTACAGCTTTTCTACCAGATGTGATTTCATTTCATGAGCAAATTAACACTTGCCCTGGTACCTGGCATGAGCAGGCAAGTCCACCAATACACTTTCATTGTCCTACCTCAGAAGCCTTGTGTCACAAATCAACTGGTGGGGGGCGGGGCAGAATCTTGATCTATTTTCCTTTCCACAAGACATAACACTGGTCCATGAAATAGTTAACGTTATGCTGGTTAGACATAATGAATAGCAATTACACTACTTTTTTTTGGTAGGGCACTTATGTATCAGATAAAGAAAAGGAAATTCAAAATGAATTCAGAGTCCTTCTATCTCAGTAAAATTTCTAGGCATCTAGTGGTTTGAAGCATGTCAAGATATCCCTTCTAAGGTGAAGGATATACTGTATAACTGGCCTCTCCTACCAATAAAGAAACAACTGTCCGTCTGGATTTTAAGGACAACATGTTCCTCATTTGGATGTACCCCTTGGTCCATTTACTCAATGGCCCTAAAGGCTGCTAGTCTTAACTGGAGCTCAGAGCAGGAGAAAGCTCAACGATAGGCTCAGAATGCTGTGCAAACTGTTCTACCCAGGACCATGGGGTCTAGTAGGTCAAATCGTGCTTGAAATGGCAGTAGCAGGTATACTGTGTGAAAGCTTCTGACAGCCCTTGTAGGTGCATCACAGTGCAGACAGGATTTCTGTACAACGTTCTGCTATCCTCTTGAGATCATACTCTTCTTTTGAGAAACAGCTTTTGGCTTCCTGCTAGGCCTGATCAGAGACTAAGTGCTAAAATATGTGCTTCCAAATTACCATATGAGTTGAGCTTGCCATCATGAACTGGGTGTTGTCTGACCCACTGAGCCATAAAGTTGAGCATGCCCAGTAGCATTTCATCATCCAATAGGATATAGTCCTTGAGATACAAGTGTGTTACATGAAGACGCTAAATGCCCATGGTCCCCATTCCTGCTGCTTCTAACTTTTCTTAGTCTGCTCCCATGGCCTCATGGGAATCCCCTATGGTCAACTGATAGAGGAAGAGAAGACCGAGGCACGGCTGAAGATATGCAGGCACCACCCAGTAGCAGACGAGAGCAGCACTATGGTTGCTTTCTAGAACATCCCTGAAAGACAGTGGTGAAGAAATTCTTTCCAGTGGTCAAATTTCAAGCAGTACACATGGCTGCTGATTTTGCTTGAAAGGAAAGCTGGTCACAGATGGGATTGTAGAGTGATTCTTGGCAATCACTTGGTAAGATGGTCATGGATTTGAGCACAGCATGGCTAGAAAATTGTTGATGAGGATGTCTGAGGGATAAATACGTGGATAGGCCTCTCCGAATCATCAAGCATCATGAAGATACTTGTTTCCCATGTGATTGCTCAGCAAAGTAGGATTTTTTTTAAAGGAGGGGGGGGAATCTTTTTTTGCAGATGGATACAACACAATGCCTTTATTTATTTATTTTTTATGTGGTGCTGAGAATCGAACCTGGGTCCCGCCCATGCTAAGGGAGCACTTTACCGCTGAGCCACAATCCCAGCCCACAACGTGGGATTTTAATGATCTGTGGGTGCCAGTCAGCATCTCTTCCCAACCACCCCTGTCATTTCAGAGTAAGGTCACGAACAGAGTGGCCATGGTGGCAAGGATGGACTTGGTGACATGAACTTCCACTCAGAAAGGCTGACCTAACTTCAACCACTACTGAGTGTCCAATTTGCCACCAGAGGCCAAACACAGTGTCCCCAATATGGTGTCCTTCTCCAGTGTGATCAGTCAACTCCCTGGTGACAGATTGATTATGTCGAACCACTTCTATCTTGGAAAGAGCAGTGTTATTAATGAAATAGAAATTAACTCCAGATAGGAAAACACCTTCTTCCATGCACATAAGGCTTCGCCCACACTAACATCTGTGGACTTAGGATGCTTTTTTCACCATCATGGTATTCTATGCAACACTGATGCTAATCAAGGAACTCACTTCACAGCAATGCGCCAGTGTTCAGGAAATTCATTGGCCCATTCATGACAGGCTGACACACAAAGGAAGAATGAAGAATGATAGAAGGGGGTTGCACAGTGATGCAAAACGAAATGCCATTGGGTTTTCAAAATGATAATGAAGAATGAGCCCAGTGGAGAAGGGCTCAATCTCTTTGAAATCCTTCCAACATTTGGCACATTATTTGCAAAGAAATCTCCTCTTACTCATTGGATACCCTCAAAATATTTACAAAAAGCATGAAAACAGGCAAGGACAGTTAACACAAAGGGTGTACAAAGGACTTGATCTTAAGGAAACCTCAGGTGCATCAGGATCACCTGGTGTCACAGATGGATGTAAAAAATCACTGATTGTAGACATCTGGTACTGTGAGTTGCTGTTCTTTTTATCAATAAAGCTAAGGGGCAAATTCACTAACTTGGATTCACTTTCTCCAACCAGTTTAAGGAGACACCATAGCTCAAATTGCTGAGTTAACTGCACATTTTTTTCCCATGAAAGCAATAACCTAACTTTAAAGAGTTTACAGAACGTTTTCAGTTTCTAATTTTATGTCCTACTCTTGGGGACAACACAGCACTCAGCTTAGGCGTGGCACACAGTGGCTAATCAGTACCTCTCTGCGATGAATGAGAACGGAAGAACCTCCCAGAGTTCTAAAGAATATATTTGTTCATATGAATAAATTTTCTAAAAATTAAGCAGGATTAGGAAAACAATTAATTCCCTTTATGTTCCAGTGCTTTGGAATTTATGCTAAATGAACTAAACTATGATAAATGACCAAAAATGAACATAAGTTGAAATACTGGGTGTGCACAGTGCAGAACATTTTGGAAGAGTTGTTTCTGCTTTTTTCTGACCTGCTCATTTGGATACTTCAGTTTATCAGACACCCATCATGAGGACTGATCACGGTTCCTCTCCTTCTATACACAGACCATCATTATACCTTCAGTGATGACCTGGAAGAAAAATATCCTAATGATTTGGCCAATAACCTTTTGTACAGGAGGCACAGAGAAAGACTCCATTTTGCACTCTGGAGGCTGAGTTCTGACCTTCACCCCCGAACTTTCTGTTCATGTGAAACCGTGCAACTCATCACCATCCTGGGCAAACCCTGAGTGAGCTGAGAGCTTCTCCTCAGCAGAGTTTACAGATGTGTGGAATGTGAATTGCTAGTTCACAAGAAGGATCTTTGTGGCCACACATATTTGAAAAAGTCTATAGAAAACATCAAGTGTGTCACAAAGCAGGTTAGCTGATAAAAAATGTTAAGATATATATGTTCATTTTGTAAAGCTGTTGATTCATTATTTAAAATACATTTTTAAAAAGTCTTTCAAAATTCATAGTCATTAGATACTTTTTATCTATACAAAATTAGTTATTATGCTGTAGATGACAAAAAAAGGTGCGCCAGTAAAAAGAGACAAAGTATATAACAAAGTTGAAGAAGCATAGGAATATTGAGTAGTTCTTTTCTCACTGGGGAAAAACATAGACTGGGGTGTTTGGGGAGAATAGACAGTCCTACTAGGGACTCCCTGGAATTTCATTATTTATGATCTCTTGGTTTTTTTTGAGATATAGGGAAACAAAGTAGACTGCAAATTAAATTGTTCCAACACCCTTTGAAAGATAACCAATTATTATTTCATCATATCACTTTCAGTTATTTTGACTCATTTTTTTTAAAAAAGGATTAAAATGTATCAATGCAGCTTACCATCTGAATGTTTAATAACCAATTCCTACAACCCCTTCCCATCCTGGTACCAGAGGTAAATACTATTAATGGTCTTTGTTTCCATACATTTTTAACACTATCAAAACCTATATATGTGCTTATTTTAAAATTCAATAGTTACTCCTGAAATATTCTGGAGTAGACTGAAATTGTTCACACCTCACAGTATATATGAGGCACCTGCTACCCCATACCATCATCATCACTTTGTTTTAGATTGACCAATCAGATGAGTGAAACATACATTACTATGGTTATTTAATGGGTCCGACTTACTCTGTTGATGACGGCCCTATGTACCAAGGCAAACTCAATAAAACTTTATTAATTGGAAAAAAAAGAGGGGAATGTAGAATATGTGCAATAGAAGTATTTTCTGTGTAGTAAAAAGACAATAAAAACTATAAGATCTTATTCAACTGACTAAATTTACAAAAATATTTTGAATGGACATTGAACTGCTGTCTAGAAACTTATGTGAAGATTATGAAATTTAGATCTCTGAGAAGCATGAAACTAAGAAGAAGAAGAATCACTAGAAATTACGTATTTATTTTAGAAAAGTTCCACAACCTGAGACAGGTGTTTCTCTATTCCAGGGTTTGAGGAAAGTCTTCCATCTACTTTACTCAACAGATAACACAGACACTTCAATCTGGGCTGTGGAGTGAGCATTCCCAAATAAACCTTTAATTATATCAATATTCACCACAGAAAAGATGGGAAGACATGTCCTAAGCCAACATGTTTTAGATGAAACAGAACAAGAAAAAGGAAACACATGGACCAGGAGCTGTAGGACTTGGGTTCTGGTCTCAGCTCAGTAATTGAGGCACAGTAAATGATCTCCCTGAGCAGCACTATCTTCATAAAGCATGGAAGAAGTAGAATACTATGCTGTAGCTCAGTGGCAGAGCGCTTGCCTAGCACATGCTTGCTCCAGAACAGGGTAATTCTATTGTCAATCTAGTGGAAATATGTAGATACTTTGTATTTTTCTTATAAAATGATATATATAATAATATTTTAGATCAGTGGTTATAACTAAACAAAACATTCCAAAAATAGAACATACCTAAATTTCAATGAAGGTAGTTATGCATCTCAAATTCTTTTTTTTTTTTTTTTTTTGGTACTAGGAATTGAACCTATGATTGCTTAACCATTGAGGCACTGAACCGTTTTTATATTTTAGTTAGAGACAGGGCCTCACTAAGTTGCTTAGGTCCTCATTAACTTGCAAAGGCTGGCTTTGAACTTGTAATCCTCCTTAGTCTCCCAAGATGCTGGGATTATAGGTTCGTGCCAGTGCACTGGTTTTTCTCCTATTTTTAATCTCTCAAACAGCAACTTCCTATCTGTCATGAGAACAGGTCAGGGCTTTTACCCTCAAGAATCCTTGGTCTCAGTTCCTACACATTTATATTTCCTCTTATTTGGGCTAATAAATGTTCATCCACTACCATGAGGTCTGGGCTGATCCACCTTCTGTCTAGTCACCATCACCCAAGTCTAAGGCCCTGGGATGTACCTGGGGTGGAGACCAGGTGCTGCTACCAGGGACAGAGTAGGAGAAAGGGAAACTGCCTCAGTCCAACACCTTCATTTTACTGATGAACCTCAAGAAGAAGCTAATACAGTGTACTGAAGAAGAGCCAGAGCCCCAGTTTGAATGATCACAGTGCTTTTGATGGCTCCCAGGTTAAAATTTCAGTCAGTACAGTAGGGAGGTATCAGCAAAGTGTTTCAAAACTGAATGTCACATATGAGTCCTGAGAGTGCTGGGAATGAAGATGTGGTTCTAGAGCACAAAGCAATGATAGAATTTATTTTTGTTTTTGTTTTGTTCCCCTTTATGTTTTTTATGATACAGGAGTGACTTTTTTGCATGTCTAATTTTATTTCCTGTGCATTTCTGTACTTCATTGTGATTTTTGCATTTAAAACAGAAAATGCCATGTTAACTTATGGGAAAGATGCAATAAATAATAAAAAGATGAAACCTACCCACATCCCAACATGCTTAGGTTAGGAAATGCTATCCCTATATTATGCTATCCCTGTATTTTGAGGGGCTTTGGGATCCTCCACAATTGCATCTATTCAGGATTCTTACTGCTTTAATGACATTTTTATCAAAGTAAATGCATTGATAAGTGACATAAGTGTAGTTCTGAACCTCAACTCAAGGCCACCATGCTATACAATGCTACTGAAATTCGTTTCTGGTAGCTTAAAATTGTGTTGAGGGACTGTGGCTGTAGCTCAGTGGCAGAGCGCTTTCCTAGCACACGTGAGGCACTGGGTTTGATTCTTGGTACTGCATAAAAATAAAGATAA